AGAGAGAGAGAGAGAGAGAGAGAGAGAGAGAGAGAGAGAGAGAGAGAGAGAGAGAGAGAGAGAGAGAGCACTTCGATCATCAGACCAACGCTTGGCCCAAGTTCGTGAAAAAGTTTCATCACGTGTTCCAATCTCTAAGTTTCCGACAGATACATCAACGCCGATTCGACAGTTTCCTTGCTATGGTCCGAACCATGGCTTGATACGCGCGGACACCCGTTCACATGTCAACTTCCGTCGCCTTTCATAAAGTACGAAATAAATAAAATACATAGAGAGAGAGAGAGAGAGAGAGAGAGAGAGAGAGAGAGAGAGAGAGAGAGAGAGATTCAACACTTCGATCATCAGACCAACGCTTGGCCCAAGTTCGTGAAAAAGCTCCATCACTTGTTCCAATCTCGAAGTTTCCGATAGATACATCGACGCCGATTCGACAGTTTCCTTGCCATGGGACGAACCATGGCTTGACACGCGCCGACACCCGTTCACATGTCAATTTTCGTCGCCTTTCATAAAGTACGAAATAAATAAAATACAGAGAGAGAGAGAGAGAGAGAGAGAGAGAGAGAGAGAGAGAGAGAGAGAGAGAGAGAGATTCAGCACTTCGATCATCAGACCAACGCTTGGCCCAAGTTCGTGAAAAAGCTCCATCACGTGTTCCAATCTCTAAGTTTCCGACAGATACATCAATGCCGATTCGACAGTTTCCTTGCCATGGTCCGAACCATGGCTTGACTCGTGCCGACACCCGTTCACATGTCAACTTCCATGCTGTTTCATAAAGTACGAAATAAATAAAATACAGAGAGAGAGAGAGAGAGAGAGAGAGAGAGAGAGAGAGAGAGAGAGAGAGAGAGAGAGAGAGCGTACGCACGTGCGCACGCAAGATTAAATAAACTACGAAGCATGGCTTGACACGTGCCCATGCAAGATTGCATGTCCACTTCACGTGTTGTTTTAAAAACTAAGAAATAAATAAAATCCACAGAGAGAGAGAGAGAGAGAGAGAGAGAGAGAGAGAGAGAGGGAGAGAGACTAGTAGACCAACGCTTAGCACGTGGAAAAGCTCTGAAAGACCCATAGAGACTGCAATCAGTTTCCACAGACTCACTGGCACACCTTACTCAGACTGACTGGAACGGGGATCATTAGATGAACGACTCCTCCTTCGGGATCCCATCATGAGAATGTCATCTGCCAGGCGGTTGTATCCACTCTCGACCCTATCCCCGACAATGGTGGCCACCCTCTCACGCCCAGCTACGTCCTGCTGCATTAGTTGTGTAGCCAGTTCAGCCTGTTGCTTTGCCACATCACGCGTGGTGTCACATCGCATCTTCGCACACTCTCGATCGGATCGTGTGAGCGCAGTCGTGTGGTCACGCATTGCGCTTGTCACGGCTTGCACGCTGGCCTCACGTGCATTGGAAATTGCTATTTTTCTCTTTCCGAGCATGGGTTCAAAAGTTGTCGATCGTGAGCCGCCGGATGCATCTCTGCTTCCGCCGGCTGGGTCATCGCTCACCCCCTCTGTCTCTCCATCTGCATCGGCCATGTCGTCAGTGTCCATGTGCCGCCGAGGGTCGTCACCGCCGTCTCTCAAATACGTTAGGTTTATAGAGTCCATGTCCTTCTCAACGGAGTCGATGATGTCATACCAACTTTGACGCAGTACGAAATCGACGTTGTATTTTTTCCGTCTCGTGCTGTTCATGTCCCAGTAGCTCGGAAGTCCGGACCATCGCTCATGACACTTCAGTTTCTGGTAGTACTCTATCACTTGGTTGAACTTGTTCTTGCACTGCTTGTGATCGCGATTGTAACCCTTCGCCTTCATACGCAGCTCCACGAACTTCCAGAAGTTCCCCTTCACCCCTGCCCATCCGTATGCCTCTGTATCCTCAATCATCAGCAACTTCACCTCATTGCGGAACCGGCACAACCATGTAGTCTCGTCCTCCCCCCAACGGTCCTTGTTCTTTTCAGAGGGACATGCCCGACCTTGCTGTCCCTGGGGACGTGCAGCAGGAGAAGTTCCTGCCTCACAGACTACCCCCGAAGGGCTCTGGCTAGATTGACCGCGGGCATCGGCCCGGGTGGGTGTGCCATTCACAGGCGTCAGATCACCGGATTGGCGAGGAGGTGTTCGTGAAGGGGCAGCTGCATTGCCACCGACATTGTCCGCAGCTGCAGTGTCTGCAGCATTATGAGCGGGGGAAATGCCATCCTCAATGTCCCGAATTAGCCGATTTATCAAGTACTCCGATGGAACGTGATGCTGAGATGCCACGCTTGGGCTATATGGGATGCCATGTCCTGCCGGAGATGACGAGGACCCACCTGCTCCTCCGGCCACGTCTGACACCGGTGGCGTGGTGGCAGCCCCCCCCCTCTGTGTAGGAGAAGCACTGGTAACGTGGTCGGCGGAAGTGATGGGTGACAAACCAGAAGACCCAGCACGACAGTTGTCACGTGGAGCTACATCAGAGTGGAAAGACAAATGTTGTGCACAATGTGGAGTAGATGAGTGCCCTTCCGCCATTGCAATGGCACGCCTCCTTAGACTCTCCCGCAAACTGTGCTCATCTTCACCCGAAGCCCCGAAAGAGAAACCACCAATGGGCTGAATCGGTGTACAGAAGCCAGGCAAGGGTGTCCCAGAATCACTTTTTGGGACATGTGTCACCCTGCCCGTCACATCATGCGGTTCTGGAACCTGTGACAAAGCGGGGTCCGATGATCTAACCCCACTCCCGACACGCATGCCCACCTGTCCCAGTGTCCCCAAAGGCCGTGAAGACGGGACTTGTGTACCCACACCGTCTTCGAAGGGCCACTGAGTTTCGCTCCCTGTCCCGTTCAAGGACCCACAGTCCCGACTAAATGCAGAGGGAAGCTGCGTGTACATTCCTGCTTGTTCGGGTGCAGGCACCGCAGGCGGTGCATTGTCTGGTCCCTGTGTTCCGTACTGGGACTCGGTATACCCCCAGTCCTGTATGCAGGACAGTCCCGTGGGATCACTGGCAGAGGCCATGATCACAGAGAGATTCAGGGACAAGCAGCGAACAATGAGATGACTGGCCGAAGGAGGAGAACTGGGAAGGAGATGGCGGACGAGGAACGCAGAAGGCCAAACGACATGGGGACGTGCACGACAACATAACGGTGGAGTGTGAGAAACGGGCCGTCAAACTCCGTTTTTTTCAGAGGGTGCTACGCTTGCAAGTCCGGATGGAAAAGGCCGACTTGCCGCGAGACACCATACGTTTCCACATCTCTTGCCAACTTTCCTCATTGGGAAAGAAGGGACGTCAATCGCTCCTCAAAAAGAACACGGCAAACATACCTAATTTCTCGGGAGTACAACAGACACCATACCATGCACGTACCCTATATGCAAGCCCAATATGTACGAAAACCTCTATGCGCCGAAGTTCGTGGGACGTCCCGTTATCCGCGGCCCTTGAACAGTCAGAGGCAACTTACATTTCGTTTTCAGAATGACGGACGGCCCCTTTCTTCCTATTTTCCTTAAAAGAAAAGGGTCGTTTCAATGCAATATCACCCCCACCTCACGACCTCCTTAATATTGCGTCCCCGTTGCTGGCCTAAGAATGAAAGAAATTGGTGAAAAAAGATAGTTCCTCTGCCTGTCATTGGGGGAGAGAGAATGATATCGGAAGTAGGGCCTCCAAATCTCGTCCGCCGTTCAGATCCCTGAAGTTCGACGGACAATATGTGTCACCGTTTGCCACACGTGATCGGAAACCAAGCGGTCGCGTGGTAAAACCTCTGTAGTGGGACGTAGCCCCAGGGATGTCGGGGAAAGCCCTCCAGTGCTTTGACGAATGTATCTGGCCACTATGTCGGACAAGGGATCGCAGTTCGTTTTTGTTTTTGTTTTGTTTTGAATTCCTTGTAGTGCCCTGCCAGCCAGGCAGGGCGTGTTTCACGGGTGGCACGTAACTGTCTCACTGCTGTAGCATCATGTATCCGCCATCAATCACAGGATAAGGGATTCCTTTTTTTTTTTGTCGTTGCTTCTCTGTTTTCTTCCAGTGCACGCCCACACTGAGGGTACAGTCACACAAGCAACTCATGGAATGTATCTGGTGGTTATCAAGGCTTTCGGGAAGTCTCTTTTTTTTCTTTTTCTTTTTCTTTTTTTTCCCCTTGTTCTTTCTTCGATGAAACTGCCCCGGCTTGCGGGCGTGTACCGGCCCTTTCGCCTTTCTTGCCGGGTATGCGTTCCTTGCCTTTATTGGCTGGGATCCAGAGCCGGCGCTGTTACTTAGAAAAAATTAGAGTGTTCAAAGCAGGCCTGTGCTCTGAACATATTAGCATGGAATAACGCGATAGGACTCTGGTCCTATTTCGTTGGTCTTCGGGATTGGAGTAATGATTAATAGAGACGGTTGGGGGCATTCATATTCCATTGTCAGAGGTGAAATTCTTGGATTTATGGATTAAAAAAAAGAAACTGCCCCGGCTCGGCCAAACTCGGTGCGCAGTGAAAATCAGGGCCGGCAAAGACAGGTTCGGAGGTAGTGGTGGGTCAAGATTTCTGAAATTGAGACGTTGGCAAAATTTCATGAAAATGCACTTTTGCCTTGCTGTTTTATATGTTTTTTTATTTTTATTTTTTGAATTTTATTTTGCAGTTAGTTAGTATGGTCTCCACTCTACGAATTGGTGGCAAGTTTGATTAAAATGACCCTTTGGTTTTCATATAAATGGCATGGCAAGTGGTCTGAAAATCAGGGTCTCTGTTAAACCACAGGTCCCCCCGCCACCGAAAACCCCTAGTCCCTGTGAGTTAGGGCCGGGTTGTACGGAGGGGCGGCGACCGTACAGAGGCGCCGGGTTGTACGGAGGCCGGCGGGTCCAATCCCGCCATTTTGCAAGCGGCAACTTTGCCGATTTTTTGTGCTCAGAAGAAGTCATGAAAATATCTGAAAATTTGAGGGCCCGTAGATTAGGTCGTGATCTTTCAGGGAAAAATATCAGAAAAAAAATAAATCATTTTGATGGTGAAATATTCGCCGCGCCGATTCGGTTTATTTCCATTTTTTGACGTCAGGGGGACCTGTGGTTTAACCTTCTCTCGACAAGATAGGTTCCACCGTAAACCACCAGTGAGGCAGACACTCCGAAGAAGGCCGTCGTATAAAACTAAGCTATATTCTCCTCTCAATTTCACCTCTCACTATAGGCTCAGGCTGCACTCTTTTTTTTTCCCTTTTTCTTAAGACTAATTATTTTAAAGAACCACTACCTTTCACATATATCGGCCGCAGGTGAGGCCCCACGAGGACGCATGACTTTCGGAGGCCGATAAAGCGAAAACAGCTGCCAATGAAATCTATCAACGACAGCCACTGCTGGGCCCGGCCTCCAAAGGCCCCCGCAGAACACGGCATGGGTTATATTCCCAATGGGAAACCAGGCAGTGGTGGTTTAAGCCCGATCAATTCAATTACTGTCAAATCATTATAGTATTACGGGGAACCCCGTAGCAGCCACATCCATGTTCAAGCCTCCAACGAGGTCACATGCGGGAGCTGCACCCACCAGCAGGTATGACACCTGCTACAGCAGGTGGGCGATACCAGCTGGGGGTCAGCTGGTAGCATCAGGATCCAGCTTCATCTGAGTGGGCAGTTGCTGTGCCTCCCCTCTGGTCCCCTCCCCCTATGAACAGTAGTAGTACCTGCTTAATGCCAATCGGGGGGCCAACGACCTATCTCTAGATGGCAGGCACTAGGTATGGTACAGGAGCCCAATGGGAATTGAACCGAAGACCTCATGAATGCCACATGTATGCCTTACCAACTGAGCTAGTCTGCTGACTTGGGCCGCAGCCGCCGCACTGTCAAATGTACATGCCTGCCGAAACGATTCGTTCCGGAGCAGAGAGTCTGGTTCGGTGAAGTTTTGGCTGTGCTCCTGGGGCGAGGTCCCACCAGCGAAGGGAACTGCATCAAGTGCCGGAATGTGGATGTATTTTATGCAAGATGCAGAAAGGCAGATCAATCGTCATTTCCTGCATCTCTCCTCAGATCACATCCAGATTCAGGCATTAAATCGAACCCTCTTTGCTAGTGGGACCGAGTCCCTGGGGTTTGAAAACCTCTCGGCTCACCTTTCCTGAGCATTGACCCCTCAATTTCAAAAATTCCTCGTTGCCCTATACATTTTTTTTTGAAAGAACTACACTGGTCGCGGGTGCACTCACCAGATATGCACAAAAGACAAAACTTATGGAAGTGCATCTTTCCCATGTTCTAGCAAAAGATTCATTCTCATTTTGGTCATTTGGTGAGTACTCTTCCCCTTCTCCCTTCGATTTATGCGTGTCATCCTTGATTACGCAGGGGGCCATGCTAGCTAATCAATCTTCTCTTTCTCTGTATATCGTTTTAAATTTTAATCTTATTAACGCGATGTTTCTCCTTTCGTTGTAGGAAACAAGGAAGAAGAAGAAGAACGCTGGACCCGGTTTCCAGCAGGTGTTGCTCCCCACCAATAGATGGAGCTTGTATAAAAAAAAAAANCCCCACCAATAGATGGAGCTTGTATAAAAAAAAAGCCTCAATCCCGGTGGTTCTCTTACCACCACCAGGATAGAGGTCTTGCACAAGGGCCTTTAAAAAAAAAAAAAAAAAAAAAAAAAGAAGAAGAAGAAGAAGAAGATGAACGAAACCTTTTCCTTGGAAAAAAAACAAAAACCAGCGTTTTCCAAAAAAAAACAAGAAAAGAAGAACGAAGCGATTGCCACGTGTCTCACCGGGGAAGCGTTCCAGAGATTGCCCCTCTGAGAATGCTGTGAAGATTCTTCGAAACATCCGCGAAAAGTGGAAGGGTACAGAGAAGATGAGAATATAGTTTTTTTTTTTTTTTTTTTTTTTGAAGCAATAATCTGGGACCATTACCCAGTTTAGGTGCAGGCGATGGGGTATGCCCAGATGCAGAATAGCCAAAACCGGGCCGCTGCACTGGCATTTCCCAACCCTGAAGATGAGAAGATTAGCATGGCCTGGCTCCTGCGCAAGGATGGCACGCATAAATCGAGTAAAAAAAAAAAAGAAAAAAAAGAAAAGAAGAGAATGCTGTGAGGGTGCGTTGTGTTTCGGTGGGAGAAGAGACGGGTAGACGTCTCTCTCTACTTGAAGACATGGAGGGGCATGATCTGTTCCTGGACGTCGGTGACGTCCTCGTTCATTTCGACATGGCCAATGATCTCGGGAATTCACGTGGCGTTGTGGCTGAAAAGGGCACAGATGCGATCGTGAAGAAACAAATCATGGAGTCAAATTGTTTGTTTTTTTTTTTTTTTTTTTTTAATTTTAAATAGGTGTCAAATTGCGATGGATATACGACAATGATGATTGAGATATCCTCCTGCCTTTGTGTGTAGACACGGCCCATGCTTTCTGAACGGAATCTAGCCATAAATCGAGTCAAATACGCGTCCCGAAAAGCCCCTTTCTCTGTGTTTTTCCTGCCTCTCAAACGGGCCGCTACTGGCATGTACGGCAGGGGGGAGCTTTCCTAGCGTCTCTGAGGGTTGCTAGCAACCTTTTTTTTTTTTTTTTTT